GACATTCCCATCCCGTGATAAAAACCCTTGGAAATTCCATGGAAATTCAAGCTGTAGGGGGGAAATATAACGAAACAGCGTCAATGGCATCATCTCCATCAACATTGGGCATGGGGTGAATCCATGCAAATGGACTTGGCCCCATGCCCCCGCACTGGAAGATGGGGCTGGGGGCACACATGTTGAAGCCGGGCACAATTGCCCCCAGCCCATGGATTTCTGGCTCGGGGCATGGGGGACATGAGATAAAGGTTCCATCTCGAAGGCCATGAGACATGGAGCTCTTTGATCTCCTCGAGAGGCATGGGGCTGGGGGCATGAGGCATGGGGCTTGGGGCTTGAATGGACTTGGTGACGTGTTTGAAGCCATGCGAATGGGCTCGCCTTGCTCTCCTCGAGAGGCATGGGGTTGGGGGCATGGGGCTGGGGGCATGGGGCTGGGGGCATGGGACCCTTGATCACCCCCCCAACACACAACACACAACACACAACACACACCTCCTTGCCTGCATCATCTTTTTCTTCATGAAGAAAAAGCTTAAGTGTTTAAGCTTTCGAGGGCATTCGCGACATTCCCATCCCGTGATAAAAACCCTTGGAAATTCCATGGAAATTCAAGCTGTAGGGGGGAAATATAACGAAACCGCGTCAATGGCATCATCTCCATCAACATTGGGCATGGGGTGAATCCATGCAAATGGACTTGGCCCCATGCCCCCTGGGGCTGGGGGCATGGGGCTGGGGGCACACGTTTGAATCCGGGCCAATTGCCCCCAGCCCCATTGGATTCTGGGGCTAGGGGCATGGGGACATTGAGATAAGGTCATCTCGCAGGCATGGAGACCTGGAGCTGTTTGCTCTCCTCGAGAGGCATGGGGCTGGGGGCATGAGGCATGGGGCTGGGGGCTTGAATGGACTTGGTGACGTGTTTGAAGCCATGCGAATGGGCTCGCCTTGCTCTCCTCGAGAGGCATGGGGTTGGGGGTGGACTGGGGGCATGGGGCTGGGGGCATGGGGCTGGGGGCATGGGACCCTTGATCACCCCCCCAACACACAACACACAACACACAACACACACCTCCTTGCCTGCATCATCTTTTTCTTCATGAAGAAAAAGCTTAAGTGTTTAAGCTTTCTAGGGCATTCGCGACATTCCCATCCCGTGATAAAAACCCTTGGAAATTCCATGGAAATTCAAGCTGTAGGGGGGAAATATAACGAAACCGCGTCAATGGCATCATCTCCATCAACATTGGGCATGGGGTGAATCCATGCAAATGGACTTGGCCCCATGCCCCCTGGGGCTGGGGGCATGGGGCTGGGGGCACACGTTTGAATCCGGGCCGATTGCCCCCAGCCCCATTGGATTCTGGGGCTAGGGGCATGGGGACATTGAGATAAGGTCATCTCGCAGGCATGGAGACCTGGAGCTCTTTGCTCTCCTCGAGAGGCATGGGGCTGGGGGCATGAGGCATGGGGCTGGGGGCTTGAATGGACTTGGTGACGTGTTTGAAGCCATGCGAATGGGCTCGCCTTGCTCTCCTCGAGAGGCATGGGGCTGGGGGCATGGGGCTGGGGGCATGGGGCTGGGGGCATGGGGCTGGGGGCATGGGACCCTTGATCACCCCCCCAACACACAACACACAACACACAACACACACCTCCTTGCCTGCATCATCTTTTTCTTCATGAAGAAAAAGCTTAAGTGTTTAAGCTTTCTAGGGCATTCGCGACATTCCCATCCCGTGATAAAAACCCTTGGAAATTCCATGGAAATTCAAGCTGTAGGGGGGAAATATAACGAAACCGCGTCAATGGCATCATCTCCATCAACATTGGGCATGGGGTGAATCCATGCAAATGGACTTGGCCCCATGCCCCCTGGGGCTGGGGGCATGGGGCTGGGGGCACACGTTTGAATCCGGGCCAATTGCCCCCAGCCCCATTGGATTCTGGGGCTAGGGGCATGGGGACATTGAGATAAGGTCATCTCGCAGGCATGGAGACCTGGAGCTCTTTGCTCTCCTCGAGAGGCATGGGGCTGGGGGCATGAGGCATGGGGCTGGGGGCTTGAATGGACTTGGTGACGTGTTTGAAGCCATGCGAATGGGCTCGCCTTGCTCTCCTCGAGAGGCATGGGGTTGGGGGCATGGGGCTGGGGGCATGGGGCTGGGGGCATGGGGCTGGGGGCATGGGACCCTTGATCACCCCCCCAACACACAACACACAACACACAACACACACCTCCTTGCCTGCATCATCTTTTTCTTCATGAAGAAAAAGCTTAAGTGTTTAAGCTTTCTAGGGCATTCGCGACATTCCCATCCCGTGATAAAAACCCTTGGAAATTCCATGGAAATTCAAGCTGTAGGGGGGAAATATAACGAAACCGCGTCAATGGCATCATCTCCATCAACATTGGGCATGGGGTGAATCCATGCAAATGGACTTGGCCCCATGCCCCCTGGGGCTGGGGGCATGGGGCTGGGGGCACACGTTTGAATCCGGGCCAATTGCCCCCAGCCCCATTGGATTCTGGGGCTAGGGGCATGGGGACATTGAGATAAGGTCATCTCGCAGGCATGGAGACCTGGAGCTCTTTGCTCTCCTCGAGAGGCATGGGGCTGGGGGCATGAGGCATGGGGCTGGGGGCTTGAATGGACTTGGTGACGTGTTTGAAGCCATGCGAATGGGCTCGCCTTGCTCTCCTCGAGAGGCATGGGGTTGGGGGCATGGGGCTGGGGGCATGGGGCTGGGGGCATGGGGCTGGGGGCATGGGACCCTTGATCACCCCCCCAACACACAACACACAACACACAACACACACCTCCTTGCCTGCATCATCTTTTTCTTCATGAAGAAAAAGCTTAAGTGTTTAAGCTTTCTAGGGCATTCGCGACATTCCCACCCCGTGATAAAAACCCTTGGAAATTCCATGGAAATTCAAGCTATAGGCGAACCCTCCGAGAGCAGCGACCATACGGCCTTTTTTCACGCGAGGGACTTGCCGACCTTGTTGCCTCCTGAGCAGGAAGCTGGTGAAACAAATCAAGCTACGGACCAAGCTCTTACCTCCAGTAAGGCTATACAAATCCAAGAAACAAACGACATTTTGCACAGTGGCGAGCGGTCAACCACCGCGCGCTTGCAGCACGAAGGTCTTGCGCGCGACTAGGTTCCAAACCATGCCCTGTGGAGCAGGCAAGTTGGGATGGATGTAGCCGGCCTCTAGGGCTTCTTTCAGGCCTGGGGGGACTCCGTAGGTTGTGCCGGATGTCCGGTTGTTGCGACGACGCTGTTCGGCGGTCGTCCTTGGCAGCCGACCCTCTGCTACCAAGCTTTCCAACCTTGCTGCGACCTCAGGTGGGGTTCCCGGCGCAGTCGTGTCGCCTGCAAAATCTGACCCGAGCAAGTGCTCCAGGCCGTGTGAAGCTGCCTTTTCCCCGAAAAGGTCTTCCAACTGTTGCTCCACACCTGTTGCAATCCCATCTGCCGCGGGTCTTTTTTTGGAGCCGCGGCCTCGCCCCCTGGAACGGCCCCGGCCCGCTGATTCGCTATCCCTGCTAGGGCGCTTAATCCCTTTGGGCCGGCCCCGGGGACGTCCCGTTGGTGTGGTGCGCGGGACTAAGGATGAGAAAACTTCTGGAAGTTTGGCGCCCAAGTTTTTGGTAGAGACATGTTTTTAATGCTCTGTCACACCACGTTGCCAGAAATCCCGGTGTGACTCCAATAGTTGGCCCTCCTCTTCATACAATGCTGTGAATTTCTCGTAGGTGGCACTGACCCGGCGCGGGTGGAAGCCATCAGCGTCCAAGGCACCAATCTTCTGCAGCGCAGCGTCCACTGTTGCTGAAGATGTCGAACGCTCCAGTTCGAACAAAGCTTCCATTTCCACGGCATTGTAGTCCGACGGGCCATACTTGCAAAACACCTTCGTGGCATTTTCCTGCCCGGTGTTGAACTCCAACATCAAGGTGGCTTCCTGCCCCAACATTCGTTCCAACGTCTTGCTGCTCATACGACCCACTTGTTTGTCATCCTTCCAATCCAAGCGGGGGCTCAACTCGGCTGATGCTTCCCCAACCATCGCGGCGGTCACCAGCGTCGATGGTTCAACAGACAAGGCACTCCACTTCCCGTCATTTTGGAAAACCCGGCCTGTGTGTTCATAACGCTCCATAACCTGCCTCAACGGCAAAGTTTTCTCCTCGGGGACATATTGATCCAGCAACTTCCAAAAGGAGTCCACTGCATTCAAGGAGTAGGAACCATAGCCTGGGTCGAGGATTGCTGCACGCCAGGCGGCCGTCCATACACCTGCATCCTTCTGGAAGTGCTCCGTCTGCAAGTACGCGACGAAATTCGCCTCACCGGCGTTCTCGAGGAGTTGGAAGCAGTGGTGCCAGTACCGATCAAAGACATAGTTATTGCGAATGAAGGCGCTTTTCGATACCCATCTTTTGGTAGAGGTCCACCAAGAGCTCTGCGTCAGCTTTTTCACACCCTGCTCCCGGATGTTGCGTTTGACATGCTCGAGGCTTCGGACCAACTGGAAATCTTGGCCAAAAAAATCCACAAAGGCCTTAACCAAAGCAGGGCCACCATCAATGTGAGCGACTGATGCTTTCCGCAAGCCATCGCCTAGATGCTCACGCACATGTGCATCTAGGCTGTCAAGGAGCAATCGAACCGCCACGTGGTTTTCGCTGGGTGCCAACGCGAAACCAAGCAGCACAAATGTGGTTTCGATGCTCTGACGGGGGACATGCTGCGCCAACCAACCAACAGCAATCAGTTTGATGCGGCTGTTGGAGATGTCGTGGGTACCATCGCACGCCAATCGCAACCCATGCTCCATCAATGTCTCCCAGTGCTCCACCAGGAGGCTGACATAAAAGTCCGTTGTATAGCAAAAAATACCGGCACTTTCGTCCACCTCGAGCACCCGACAATGCCAGGGTTCCGTGGCTCCCCTCTCCTTCACTGACTGCACGTAGCCAAGAACCTCCACGATTTTGTCTTCCACTCGCGCAGACCGCGTGTACTGCTTGCGAGTCTGGATTTGTTGCCGTGCAGGAAGGTTACCGTCAGGATGAGCGATGGACCACTCCACCAAGGCAGCGGCTGCCCGCTGCGGTTGGGAGGCAATGCTTCGGATCTCTCCACGCACATCCTCCCCATGCCTGTGCTCATCTTTCCCCTCCCGCACCAGCTTCCCATCCTCCGAGCCGTATTGCACCACCATTCGGCATTTTTCGCTGCATCGGCAGTAGACGTATGTCCGGCTCGGCCGTTTTACCAAGCAGCGCTTTCTGGACCCCCACTCCGCCTCAATGATGTCCAGCACCTTGCGCCCAGCCAGGGCTTCTTTCTTTCCAAACCATAGATTTCCAAATTTGTCTTTCCTGCAGGGTTTAGGTTTTAAGGTTTAGGGTTTAGGGTTTAGGGTTTAGGGTTTAGGCTTTAGGCTTTAGGCTTTAGCGTTAGTCTAGCGTGGCATAACACTTTCAAAGTTCCTAATGCACACGCCGGCCTCTCGTACCTGTCTTCCTCCTCGTCCGCAAGCTCCCACGGGACCATTGCCGGCTTCAACTTCCACATTTTCCATCTGTTGGTTTATTAGCAGACGCGGAGCCGAGAAGGTCTTGAAACCGCGAAGCCGAACAAAGAATCAAGTGAGCAGCGGATTGTTCATGTGAGTAGGGACTCTTGCCCTTGAAGCACAGGCTTGTTCTAAGAGATACAGACACGGGGTGCCTTCTTCCGACTTTAAAACACACCGACACGAAAAAAAACCTTGTTTCAACTTTCAAATTCGGTTTAACCTCCTAATGAAACAAAACATCATAACAAAGTTTTCTCTCATTTCGCCTTAGGTGTGTCTACTTTAGATATTAGTGTGTGTCACAACTAAAAGATGTGCGTGCGTGCGTGCGTGCGTGCGTGCGTGCGTGCGTGCGTGCGTGCGTGCGTGCGTGCGTGCGTGCGTGCGTGCGCGCGTGCGTGCGTGCGTGCGTGCGTGCGTGCGTGCAAAAGATAGGTCTCGCGCAAAACTTGACTCCACAAGGCTTGCACGTTGCTGTTTCGGTGTTTCGTTAGTGTGTGTCACAACTAAAAGATAGGTCTCGCGCAAAGTCCCTTTCGATGTGCGCAAAATTTGCGAAAAAAATAGGTGCGGCATGGTGTTTTAAGGCTTCAAGAGGGGGCTTGAAGCCCCAATCATTTCGTCTTCCCCTTGCGTCACCAGGCGCTGGCATGTGCATGCAGGGCGCTCGTCAGCCCCAGGGGCCCCCGCATGCGCCAACTCCTGGGTCCTCCGCAAGGGGAACCCTGGGGTATGAATCGGTTTTCTCTAACGGCGGGGCGGGGCCCGCCGGGCTTTGGAGTTCGCGGTTGCCAAACCGCTCGCCGCAACCCGCAGGTCGCGACTAATTTGACATGGGCCCCGATCGCCGGCCCCGAAGGGCTGGCGATCGGGAAACAAAAATTGAGTCCCATGCCTCCTCCTCCGCCGGTTCTCGGGTCGGTCACCCCCTGTCCGCGAATACGCCTCCGCCGTGTATTCTGCTTGTGTGCTTTAGTTTTTGTGCCTTTCAAGTCCATTCTGCTTGTGTGCTTCAAATGAATTCTGCTTCTGTGCTTCAAATTGGTGCCTTTGAAGTCCATTCTGCTTGTCTGCCTTAAATTGGTGCTTTCGAAGCATTCTGCTTGTGTGCTTCGAATTGTGAAAAGCAGAGCTCGCGCAGCAGTCTCTTTTTCACTCAGCACTTGAGCCAAACACCGAAGTGTTCAGCAAGGTTCGGTTCTTGCGACCAGCTCTCTCCAAGAGCTAAGGGCTTCACAACAACTACAAATTCCTTATCAATGTTGTTCTACAAAGGAGGTGTAGCAAAAATATCACGCAAAGACTTTGGTATACACCTCGGGACTTACTAACAGCAAGACAGCGAAGCTCCAGAGTTCACTCTGCACTTCTACTCACATCCTACACGTCGAACACTTGTTGTGTTTTTTTTTGGCTTTGCGTTTGGGGTTTTCTATTCATTGACCTCTCTGCTACAACGGGCTTCCTGTGGGATGCACTGCACCCGACAATACCGACAACGGGGTTCCTTGGTGGAACTGAGGAGTGTCTGGCCCTGAAGGTCTCGCATAAGGAGGCTCAGCCCCTCTCCTGCCTCTCTCACGAAGCATTCCGGGTTCACTCTCGCCTATGTGGTAGAACGATGGCCTTCCACGGCCCTCCATACCAAGACAACTCAAGCACACACCAAGTCAGCGTATTGGGCTCACTTTCTTTCTTTGCAACAAAGCTTCCACGCTCCGCTACCACGTTAAAAACCTAAGATGCCAAGCAAGGCACCAAGGAGACAACCACTCACACAAGTCCAACCAAGCAAGCAAGCTCAGACACTCGGACAACACTTCTGTTTTGGCTTGCAGCACTCACACCAGTGCTCGTCACTTGAGCCAAAGTGAAAAACGTATCACAGCTCTACAACTAGCTCTCCTTAAAAGACCTCCAATCTGCTTGTGCACTTCAAATTGGTGCCTTTCAAGCCATTCTGCTTGTTTGCAAAATTGGTGCCTTTCAAGTCCATTCTGCTTGTATGCTCAAATTGGTGCCATCCTGCTTGTGTAAGTCCAGTCTGTTGTGTGCTTCAAACTCGTGCCTTTCAAGTCCATTCTGCTTGTGTGCGAAATTGGGGCCTTTCAAGTCCATTCTGCTTGTGTGCGGAAATTGATGCCTTTTAAGTCCATTCCTGTGCTTCAAATTGGTGGCTTTCAAGTCCATTCTGCTTGTGCACTTCAAATTGGTGCCTTTCAAGTCCATTCTGGTTGTGCATTTATTTGGTGCTTTTCAAGTCCATTCTACTTGCTTCAAATTGGTGCCTTTCAAGTCCATTCTGCTTGTGCACTTCAAATTCGTGCCTTTCAAGTCCATTCTGCCTTGTGTACTTCAAATTGGTGCCTTTCAAGTCCATTCTGCTTGTGTGCTTCAAATTGGTGCCTTTCAAGTCCATTCTGCTTGTGTGCTTCAAATTGGTGCCTTTCAAGTCCATTCTGCTTGTGTGCTTCAAATTGGTTGCTTTCAAGTCATTCTGCTTGTGCACTTTAAATTGGTGCCTTTCAAGTCCATTCCGCTTGTGTGCTTCAAATTGGTGCCTTTCAAGTCCATTCTACTTGTGTGCTTCAAATTGGTGCCTTTCAAGCCCATTCTGCTTGTGCACTTCAAATTGGTGGCTTTCAAGTCCATTCTGCCGTGTGCTTCAAATTGGTGCCTTTCAAGTCATTCTGCTTGTGTGCTTCAAATTGGTGCCTTTCAAGTCCATTCTGCTTGTGTGCTTCAAATTGGTGCCCTTTACGTCCATTCTGCTTGTGTGCTTCAAAATTGGTGCTTTCAAGTCCATTCTGCTTGTGTGCTTCAAATTCGTGCCTTTCAAGTCCATTCTGCTTGTGTGCTTCAAATTGGTGCCTTTCAAGTCCATTCTGCTTGTGTGCTTCAAATTGGTGCCTTTGAAGTCCATTCTTGTGCACTTCAAATTGGTGCCTTTCAAGTCCATTCTGCTTGTGTGCTTCAAATTGGTGCCTTCAAGTCCATTCTGCTTGTGTGCTTCAAATTGGTGTCTTTCAAGTCCATCTGCTTGTGTGCTTGAAATTGGTGCCTTTCAAGTCCATTCTGCTTGTGTGCTTCAAAATTGGTGCCTTTCAAGTCCATTCTGCTTGTGTGCTTCAAATTCGTGCCTTTCAAGTCCATTATGCTTGTATGCTTCAAATTCGTGCCTTTCAAGTCCATTCTGCCTTGTGTACTTCAAATTGGTGCCTTGCAAGTCCATTCTGCTTGTGCTTCAAATTCGTGCTTTCAAGTCCATTCTGCTTGTGTGCTTCAAATTTGTGCCTTTCAAGTCCGTTCTGCTTGTGTGCTTCAAATTCATTCCTTTCAAGCCCATTCTGCTTGTGTGCTTCAAACTGGTGCCTTTCAAGTCCATTCTGCTTGTGCTTCAAATTCGTGCCTTTCAAGTCCATTCTGCTTGTGTTCTTGAAATTTGCCTTTCAAGTGCCTTTCTTTTAAGTCCATTCTGCTTGTGTGCTTCAAATTCGTGCCTTTCAAGTCCATTCTGCTTGTGTGCTTCAAATTCGTGCCTTTCAAGTCCATTCTGCTTGTGTGCTTCAAATTCGTGCCTTTCAAGTCCATTCTGCTTGTGTGCTTCAAATTCGTGCCTTTCAAGTCCATTCTGCTTGTGTGCTTCAAATTCGTGCCTTTCAAGTCCATTCTGCTTGTGTGCTTCAAATTCGTGCCTTTCAAGTCCATTCTGCTTGTGTGCTTCAAATTCGTGCCTTTCAAGTCCATTCTGCTTGTGTGCTTCAAATTCGTGCCTTTCAAGTCCATTCTGCTTGTGTGCTTCAAATTCGTGCCTTTCAAGTCCATTCGTGCTTTCAAGTCCATTCTGCTTGTGTGCTTCAAATTGTCAAGTCCATTCTGCTTCAAATTCGTGCCTTTCAAGTCCATTCTGCTTGTGTGCTTCAAGTCCATTCTGCTTGTGTGCTTTCAAATTCGTGCCTTTCAAGTCCATTCTGCTTGTGTGCTTCAAATTGGTGCCTTTCAAGTCCATTCTGCTTGTGTACTTCAAATTCGTGCCTTTCAAGTCCATTCTGCTTGTGTGCTTCAAATTGGTGCCTTTCAAGTACATTCTGCTTGTGTGCTTCAAACTGGTGCATTTCAAGTCCATTCTGCTTGTATGCTTCAAAATGGTGCCTTTCGCAAGTCCATTCTACAAGTGTGCCTATTGGTGCCTTTCGCAAGTCCAGTCTGCTTGTTTGCTTCAAATTGGTGCCTTTTCAAGTCCATTCTGCTTGTGTGGTTCGCATTGGTGCCTTTCAAGTCCATTCTGCTTGTGTGCTTGTCTAAGTTCCTTTCAAGTCCATTCTGCTTGTGTGCTTAAATATTTGTACCTTTCAAGTCCATTCTGTTCTGTGCTGCAAATTGGTGCCTTTCAAGTCCATTCTGTTGTGTGGCTCAAATTGGTGCCTTTCAAGTCCATTCTACAAGAGCCTATTGGTGCCTTTCGCAAGTCCACTCTGTTGTGTGCTTCAAATTGGTGCCTTTCAAGTCCATTCTGTTGTGTGCTTCAAATTGGTGCCTTTCAAGTCCATTCTACTTGTGTGCGAAAATTTATGTCTTTCAAGTCCATTCTGCTTGTGTGCTTCATTAACTTCCTTTCAAGTCCATTCTGCTTGTGTGCT